AAAGCTAAAATCATATGAAAAATGCTCTAAATCAATCTTGATTAGAAAAAGCAAATTAAAATAATTCTGAGGTACCACTTCACATCTATCGTATTGATTAATGTGACAGAAAAGGAAAATGACAAGTATTGAAGGGGATGTGGAAAAATTGGGACACTAATGCACTTTTGGTAGAGTTGTGAACTGATCCAACTATTCTGGAAAGCAATTTGGAACTATGCCCAAGGGATATAGAACTATGCATACCCTTTGACCTTGCAATACCACTACTAGGTGTGTATCCTAAAGAGATTTTTAAAAAATAATAAAAAGGAAAAGGACCTGTATGTACAAAAATATTTATAGCAGCTCTTATTGTGGTGACAAAGAATTGGAAATTGAGGGGATGCCCATCAATTGGGGCATGGCTAAACAAATTGTGGTATATGGTTGTGATGAAATATTATTGAGCTATAAGAATGATGAGCAAGATGGTTTCAGAAAAACCTGGGAAGTCTTACGTGAACTGTTGCAAAGTGAAGTTAACAGAACCAGGAGAACATTGTACAAAGTAACAGCAATATTATACAAAGATCAACTGTGAATGACTTAGCTATTCTCAGCAATACAATGATCAAAGACAATTCCAAAGGACCTATGTTGAAAAATGCTATCCACCTCCAGAGAAAGAACTGATGGAATCTGAATGCAGATCAAAGCATACTTTTTTATTTTCTTTATTTTTCTTGGAGTTTGGTCTGTTATCTTTCACAGAATGACTTGCATGAAAATATGTTTTGCATGACTGCACATGTATAATTTATATCAAATTGCTTGCCTTCTCGGTGAGGGGGGAGGAAGAGAAGGGAGAGAATTTGGAACTCAGAATTTTTTTAAAAAGTTAAAAATTATTTTTATATGCAATTGAAAAAAGTTTTAAAAAAAGAAATGATGAGCAGGATATTTTTAGAAAAACCTGGGAAGACTTATATGAACTCATGCAGAGTGAAGTGAGCAGAACCAGAACATTATACACAATAACCCCAAGATTGTATGATGGTCAGTGACTATTCTGATCAATACAGTGATCCAAGATAATTCCAAAGGACCTATGGTGAAAAATGCTATCTACCTCCAGAGAAAGAACTGATGGGGTCTAAATACAGATTGAAGCATAATTTTTTCACTTTCTTTATTTTTCTTATTTTTTGTTTTGTTTACAACATGGCTAACATGGAAATGTGTTTTGCATGATTTCACATGTATAATTGATTTCACATTTTTTGCCTTCAAAATGGGTAGGGGAGGCTTGGGAGGAAGGGAGAATATTTAGAACTCAATTTTTTTAAATAGAAATATATATTTTAAAGAGAGAGTAGAGAGGGAAAAGAGGCTGGGAACAGAATCTTAGTGAGTCACATTTAGAGGGCAGGAGGAGGATGAAGATCGAAGGAGACAAGAGAAGGAGCAGTTAGGAAAGAGAAAGTTTTTTTTTTTTTTTTCCATCAGATTGGAGATAACCCTTCCCCTTTCTTCCCTGCTTCCTTGACCATCCACAATTCCCCACAACTTCTACTGCCTTAGGATTGTCAACCAGACCAAACCGGCCTCTGACCTGTGGACGGCCAGAGTGGAACAGAGAAAGCTAAAGACAGGAGATTCAGGAATCAAAGGGCAATTTAATTTCAAAGTGAGGAAAACAGCTTATGAGCAAAGTCCATCTTCCTAAGAAGTAGGGTTCACCTGGTTTATGGCAGGGCTAGGGTTTTTAAGTGTGTTTTCAACCACAAATGGCTGGATCACAACACAAGCATTCTTGAGTCTTGAGTAAACAGTCTCCAAGTTCACGGCTGGACCACAACGCAGGCATTCTTGGGACTTGTGTGAACAGTCTCTGATTTGAGCCTTGTGATTGTTCAGTGGGGCACAGAACCAGGGTAAGTGTGTCCGGGAACAGGGAGTGTTAGCGTGTCAGAGGATCTGATTGATCAGTTTGGCTGCAACCTTACCTTCCAAATCAGGGTCCCCTAGAAAGTAGGAAAGTTCCAACAAATCTGAATAGTTAATATAATCATTACACATATCATATCGATTAATGTGAAAATTATAGATCTCATTAATCTCATTACAACAGGGTGAAGCTGGCTTATTATTGAAACTACTTCCCTGGCCTCAGAATCTAGAGAGGGCATGGTAATGGCCTGGTTTATCTCCTTAATTGTAAAGTCCTCCTATCTACCTTTCACTGTATACCTCATCACAGAACATACCATTGTATATATATCTGTATGTCTATAGATATATACGTATGTGTGTATATGTACATGTATTTATATATGTATATGTATTCACATTAAACCAGCATTATAATAAAAGGATAAATAATGTAGGACCTACAAAAAGTTACTGGCTACTATAGAGGTGATAGGAATTGAACATGTCCTGTTAAGGTCCTAAAGCCTTCTCTGTTGTCTTGTACGTATATAGGAGCACAGATCTGCCCTCTGGTAAATAATAGCTAACATTTATATAGTGCTTACTTTATGCCAAGCAGTGTGCTAATGTTAAATGCTTTATAATGATTATCTCATTTGGACCTCACAACAACCATGGGAGGTAAGTGTTATTATTATCCCCATTTTACAGATGTGGAAACAGAGAAACAGAGGTTAAGTGACTTGCCCAGGGTTTCATAGCTAGTAAGTGTCTGAGGCCAGATTTGAACTCAAATCTTCCTGACTCCAGGCTGGGTGGTCTATCTGCTGCATCACCTAGCTACCTAATATATATTTTGAAATATATATTCATAGACAGCCTTCATACTAGCACACAGGCTCCAGTCATACAGAATTGCTGAGACTGGGACCAGGACAGATCACACTGGAAAGCTGAGTACATTTCAGCTTGGAATTGTTGGTTGAGGTCATTCACTAATGTCCTAGTTTAGGGTCTAGAAATTAGGGCGTTTTCACATTTTGGTCATCAGGAGTGAGCCAAGAGCCTGGAAGCCAGGGAGACAGTCTGGTCAGAATGGAACTCAAAAGCCAAGGCAACACTGTGCTAAGTGCTGGGAATACAAATGCAAAAATGACAGTCCTTGTTTTCAAAGAATTTATAATCTAATGAGGGAATAGAACTCACAAAAGCTAAATGAGACAGGGAGGAGAGTTACTCTCTCGAGGGGGCATGATAGACAAATCCAGAGGAGGGCAGCCAGGTGGGAAATGAAGCAGAGGCTGGCCTTAGTCCCCTCCTTAAAAGACAGTTCTAGAAGGAGCTCTTGGCCCTCCATTGGGAGGGAGGGGTGTCGGGGTAGAAAATACTGATGAGGTGGGAGGAAACATGCTTGAAGAGGAATCTAGCTCCTGGTGGGATAGGTAGAAGGTGAATGCAGTTAAGGAATGAGAAGCCACTGGAATTTTTGAGCAACAATGTGCCATGATCAGATCTGTACATTAGGTCTATCAATTTGACAGCTGTGTGGAGAGGGGAGAGACTAGGATTGAGACCAGTTGAAAGGTTATTACAGTAGTATAGGCAAGAGATGATGAGGGCCTATTTTAGAGTAGTGGGTTCAATGAGTGGAGAAAAGGGCACAGCTGCAAGATATATTGTGGAGCAAAATAGACAAGACTTGATTGGATATGAGTGATGAGGGAGTTGTGATGACTCCAAGGTGGGGAATCTGGCTGACTAATAGAATGATATCAGCAAAAATAAGGATGTTAGGAAGAAGGGAGGGGTGGGGATGGGGTGGGGAAGTGGGATTTATCAATTTTAAACAAATGCAGAAAAGCAAAAGGTAACTTTTATAGACCACTTACTAGTTGAGTGTGTGACTCTGGGCAAGTCATTTAACCCCGTTTGCCTCAGTCTCCTAGTCTAAATGAGCTGAAGAAAGAAATGCCAAACCACTCCAGTATCTTTGCCAAGAAAACCACTAATATGGTCACAAGGAGTCAGACAGGACTGAACAATAACAATGTTAAAGAAAAAATATTTCAACCTGCTGGAAGAAATAAAGAAATCACTTGCCAAGAAATGTTAGTACAGATCACAGTAGACTTTTCAGGGAAGACAGTGGACGTTTAGAAAAACTGGAATACAACAAGTAAGGGCCATGAATCCACAATTATTACCCACAAAAATTCAGTATCCTTTTTTTTTTAAGTGACAAACATTTAAGAAGAAGTCAGGAATTGGAAAAGATTATAGTGATATATATTTTCTTCATAAGCATGTTCCCTTTCAACTACAATCAAGTCTCCTAGACAAATAGACAATTCACATTGCATAAATCAAAATAAACCTATAGCAAGCAAAATGTAAGAACTCTGAGTATTGTATTGGCTGGATCATTACATTTTTCAGAAGAGTATTTTGAGGTAGCAGAGAGGAAAATCAAAAAGAGGAGAGACAAGGGAAGAAAGTAATTCCAAATTAAAATTACTGTTAATGGACAAAGAGGAAGCCTGAGATAAGGATGCAACATAGTTATTAATATTAAAAAGAACTTTATTTGCATTGTTTTTAAATTGTTTTGGTTAATAGCAAAAAGAAGAGGAAGTATGTTTTCTTCCAATTAGAATTATGAAAGATGAGCCTAACACTTGAAACACTAAATGCAAACTGATTAAATTCTCCAATAAAACAAAAGAGGATCACAGGAATACAGGTTCTAATAATACACTGTTAACAGGAATCAAATTTAATCCAGAAATATTTAAACAGATTCAAAATGAAACTTTCTAAAACTTACCATGCTCTACCAAAATCGTAACCAAAAGTGGTACTAATGATATTAGATAAAAATGAATTGAAACCAGAAAACAGTAAAAGAGGTGAACATTTTTATTTTGTGATATTTATTTTATTTGCCTTTATTTTAGTCATTTTTCTTCCCTCTTACATGACTGAGGAGAAAATACAAGAATCCTGGGTACCTTTAACTTATCATTGTACTGTTTTGGCAGTATGCTTTTTTACATGCTATTTATTTATTTTTCATTTTCTTATTTTAGTTGTTCGAGGTCAGAAGTACATCCTTTGAATATAGTAATATCATATCCCACTTTAAAACTACCATGAAAAAATTTGACATTCAAAGGATAATGAGGAATCAGAACCCATCGCTCTGGAACGATTTTCAGCGGTTTGTAGCCATGTGAAATGCTTGTGCTAATAATAGCTAGTATTTATATAGTGCTTACAGTGTGTGAGGAACTGTGCTAAGCACTTTACAATTTTTATCTCATTTGATCCTCACAGCAACTCTGGAAGATAGGTGCTGTTATTATCCCCATTTTACAGGTGAGGAAATTGGCAAACAGAGGTTAAATAACTTGCAGGGTTAAGCAGCCAGTAAGTGTTTGAGGCTGTATTTGAAATCAGGTCCTTCTGACTCCAGACCTGGCACTCCCAGCACAATGGCGCCCACTAGCCGCCTAGCTAGCTATACCCCCAAACCAATTCAAGTACTGTAAGACCTGTTCTTTTGAGGTATACTCTTACTTAGTTAGCCACACTAATCATCCAGAAATTTGTGTCTCTTGCAGTTTTTTTCCCACTGTGCAGATGTCATTTTATATAAGTTTCTGTCCCTTTTGGGGGGCTCTAACCTGAGTCTGCTGTTGGATTGACTAAAGAGAGGCTGAAAGTTGATAGAATAAAGTATTATTAATGTTAGAATTTGGTTGGGATCTTATTAGCAACGGAACAGAGTCTTGTTCTGTACATTAAAGCTGACATTTCTCGCGTCAGGAAGAAGAGGAGAATGTTGAACGGGGGAAATGAAAAGATGTTATTTCATGCAGCAGACCCAACCAACATGCATATAATATGCAATTTAAATTTTGACTGGAGCTTTCAGTCACTTCATGAAGCAAAATATGGAAAAGGTTTGTATTATATTTGTAAGTTATGGTAGTAAAAATAATAGCTGATATTTGTATAGCACATAAATTTTTACAAAGTGTTTTATGTACACATTCTTATTTTATCCTCACAACAATCCTGGGAGGTAAGTACCATTATTATTCCTATATTACAGATGAGAAAATTGAGGCAGAGGTTAAGTGATTTGACCAGACTCCCACAGGCAGTGAGCGTCTGAAGCTGGATATGAACTTGGAACTTCTTGACTCCAGACTCAGCACTCTATGCGTTGCTCAACCTAGCTACCTATCATCACCTACCCTTCAGTTTATAACCTTTGAATTGCTTGGGGCAGTGAGGGTTAAAATGACTTGATCAGGGTTACTCAGTCAGTATGTTTCAGAGGCATCACCCGAAAACACATCTTTCTCACTCTGAGGTCAGCTCTGTCTACTATACCACACTGCTTCTCTAAATAGAAGTTATATTCATATAAACACATGATTATCTTTGATAATTTTTCCTCTTATTAGTATTAACTTTTGTTGTTTGGTCATGTCTGACTCTTTGTGACCCTACTTGGGGTTTTCTTGGCGAAGATACTGGCATTTCCTTCTCCAGCTCAGTTTATAGATGAGGAAACAGGGTTCAGTGCCTTGCCCAGGGACACAGAGCTAGTAAGTGTCTGAGGCCAGATTTGAACTCATGAAGATAGTCCTCCTCACTCTAGGCCCTGCACTCTGTCCACTGTACTATCTAGCTAGAGTTTGATAATTGCTGTTTGAAACCCACACTTTGCTCATTTCTTCTGTTTCAGAAATGGAGGGTCATCACCACCTGTGCACCTCGATAAACATGTCAAATTTCAGTTTGTATTTTTAGAGATGTGAGACCTTAGGTCTCCCCTAAGGCACTGAGGACAAATTATTAACAGACATGAAATCCCATAATCAATGGAACATGGCATTGTTTGATTGTTCTATGAATTTATACACACCTTGATTCATAACTAAAAAGTTTTTGTGTGATGGTTAGTCTATGACAAAGCAAGGAAGTTGCTATTCCACAATTCCATCATTTCACTAAGTACCCCCAGAAAGTTCCTGCCTAGGCAAACTTTCGCCATTTAATCAACAAATCAGCAATGTTCCTTACTATAACCTTGCTATTGCTAGAGAAATCAAGAAGCACAGTGATCATTGCTGACTTATTTTCCATGATGCTTAGAATATATCCTAGAAGATATCTGAGACTCTGGAGTTTTGATGGATGTTCATGGTGTACTCCATGAAAGCGTACCCTTAATTAGAGTTTTCTTTTTTTTTAAATTTTTGTTTATTTTTATTTTTTATTAATTTATTTATTTTTAGTTTTCAACATTCACTACCGCAAGATTTTGAGTTCTAAATTTTCTCCCCATCTCGGCCCTTCCCCCACCCCAAGATGGCATGCATTCTGAATACCCCTTCCCCTAATCTACCCTGCCTTCTGTCTCCCACCCCCCTTCTCTTATACCCTTCCCCTTCTTTTTTCCTAAGGGCAGGATAGATTTCTATACCCCATTGCCTGTACATTTTATTTCCCAGTTGCATGTGAAAACAATTTTTTAACATTTGTTTTTAAAATTTTGGATTCCAAATTTTCTCCCTTCTTCCTTCCCCACCCACCTTCACTGAGAAGGCAAGCAATACAAGTTATACATGTGTAGTCATGCAAAACACCTCCATAGTAGTTATGTTGTGAAAAACCAACCACATTTCCCTTTATCCTATCCCACCCCCCATTTATTCCACTCTCTTCCCTGACCCCATCCCTCCTCAGAAGTGTCTGCTTCTGATCGCCCCCTCCCCCAATCTCCTCTATCATCCCCCTGCTCTCTTATCCCTTTCCCCCTTACCCTCCTGCAGAGTAAGACAGACCTCTGTACCCAACTGAATGTGTATGGTATTCCCCCCTCAAGCCAAATCTGATGAGAGCAAGATTCACTTATTCCCTCTCACCTTCTCCTGTTTCCCCTCCACTATAAAAGCCCTTTCCTGTGTGAGATAATTTACCCCATTCTCTCTCTCCCTCTTTCCCTCTCCCAGCACAATCCTCTGTCACTCCTTAATTTTATCCTCCAAATATCACCTCTTCATCCTCAACCCACCCCATGCCCTCTATCCATCTATCTATCTATCTACATACATATAATTTTTTCCCTCCAACTACCCTAATACTGACAAAGGTCTCAGAAGTTACAAATGTCATCTTTCCATGCAGAAATGTAAACAGTTCAACCTTAATAAGTCCCTTATGATTTCTCTTTCCTGTTTACCTCTTCATGCTTCTCTTGAGTCTTGTATTTGAAAGTCAAATTTTCTATTCAGCTCTGGTCTTTTCATCAAAGAATGCTTGAAAGTCCTCTATTTCACTGAATGTCCATTTTTTTTTTTACCCCTGAAGGATCATACTTAATGTTGCTGGTTAGGTGTAGAGTTTTCTTTGATAGCTCCTCCCATTTCCATAGACATCATCACCTCTCCTAGCTCTGACACACGCTAGCCAGAAAGCTCTGAATCTCTCGGTGCTCCAGATAACTCTGAAACTAAGTTATATTAGTCCTCCTTCATAGCTGAATAACTCTTAGGAAGGACACAATGATGGCTGGTTATAAATGTTGAGAAGAGCTTTTTGAGGTATTTAGAAAACAGTAAATCAGTCTTTTAGGTCAGGTAGATAGTACTTCTGTTTGAAACCACTCCAGAAACTTCTCTACAACAAACACAGTCTCTGTTAGCCCCAAAGCTTGTCTGGAGATATTTCAAAGGTACAGTCTAGAACACCAGACATTTTTCTGTAGTGTCTAGGTTTTGGAAGAAAATAAATCAAGCATGCAAACTTGGTGAGTCATTCCGTTCTAGAAGAATTTGGTTCTATTTTGGAACAATCCCCCTACTTGTAGATGTATGAAATGTCTTTTAATGCCCCTCATACTGTAGGGTCATATTTGCCATCTGAAAAAAAAACAAACTTTTCTTTTTTTTTTTCTGTATTTTGCTAAACACTGAAGATTATGAAGGTGTTAAACTTTATCTCTGGAAAAACTCAGAACTGATTTGTTTGGTGTTGTGGAAAGTCTTAATGGTTTCAATACACAATTGGTAATCAACTGTTTTATATACTTGTTTTCAATTTTCATTTCTACAAATAAGCACTTTAATTAAAGCAATTAGAATAAAATCTCTGAACTATTAAAAAAAAACAAAAACCACAAACCTGAGGACTTCCAGGAGCCAAGATGGTAGAGTAAGCAGTAAATTGCCATAACTCATGTCCATCTCCAAACAACCATAAAATAGCAACCTGAAACACATCCTGGAATAGCAGAACCAGCAAAAAGACAGAGTGAAACAGTCTCTTCGTTCAAGAAACTTGGAAGGTCAGCAGGAAAGGTCTGTCTCACTTGAGTAAAAAGGGAGTGTGGTCCAGGACAGGAAGTGTCCCAGTAAGCCCCACCTCAGCAAACCAGTGGGAGAATAGGACCCCTCCACATGCCTCAGCCTAGCCAGGGAAATAGGGCAGCCTCCAGCTCCAAGAACCACCACATGCTTCAGTTTAGCCCCAGGCAAACAGGCACCTCCAGCAACCATACCACCACATGCTTCAGTGTAACTCAGGGAAACAGGCAGAAGCCAATGCAGGAAAACCACATGGGCCTCAACACACACCAGACACCAGCACTGGGACCCTGACTCAGCACCAGGTAAGCTACCAGACCCTTACAGCCTACCGCACCACCAGCCACCCACTACCCCATTCCCTCAGAGCAACACCAGATAGTAGGCCCCCCGTGGCCCCAGGGCAACATCAGTGTAGCACCAGGTAAACAGTCAGGGCCTGCAGCCCAGGGCACAAGAAGCCTGAGACAGTGTTCCTTCCACCCAAGGAGCAGAGTTCAAATTTAAAAGAAACAGAAAAGGTCAAAAAACATGAGCAAAAAGGAACAAAAAAAGAATCTGACTGTAGAAGGTTATTATGTTGACAGGGAAGATCATGACACAAACTCAGAAGAGGACAACAATGTCAAAACACCCATGGGCAAAACCCCAAAGAAAAACAGGAAGTGATCTGAAGTCCAGAAAAAACTCATGGAAGAGCTCAAAAAGGAACTTAAAAATCAAATAAGAGAGTTAGAAGAAAAATTGGGAAAAGAAATGAGAGTGATGGAAGAGAATTATGAAAAAAGAGTCAACAGCTTGGAAAAAGAAAACAGCTGCTTAAAAAGTAGAATTGGCCAAATGGAAAAGGAGATATAAAAGTCTACTGAAGAAAACAACTCCTTAAAAAGTACAATTGGCCAAATGGGAAAAGAGGTACAAAAGCTAAGTGAGGAAAACAGCTCCTTAAAAGTTAGAATTGGACAAGTAGAAGCTAATGACTCTATGAGACACCCAGAATCAATCAATAAAATTTGAAAGAATGAAAAAATAGAAAAAAAAATGTAAACTACCTCATTGGAAAAACAACTAACCTGGAAAATAAATCCAGGAGAGGCAGCGTCAGAATCATTGGACTACCTGAAAGCTATTAAAAAAAGGAGGACTTAGCATCTTTCAAGAAATTAACAAGAAAATTGTCCTGATATCCTAGAATCAGAAGGCAAAATAGGCACCAGTCATCTGAGGAAAGAGATCCCAAAATAAAAATTCCAAGGAACGTTATAGCCAAATTTCAGATCTATCAGGTCAAGTCAAAAATACTGCAAGTGGTCAGAAAGAAACAATTCAAATATTGATGAGCTATCATCAGGATTAAACAGGACTTAGCAGCTACAACATTAAAAAATCAGAAGTCATGGAACATGATATTCCAGAAAGCAAAGGAGCTAGGACTACAACCAAGAATCACTTATCTAGCAAAATTAAGCATAATACATGAAGGCAGGGAAATGGTCATTCAATAAAATAGAAGGATTTCAAATTTTCATAAGAAGACCAGAATTAAACCAAAAATTTGATCTCCAATATCAAGACCCAGGAGA